AGACATCATGTGATCCACTCTCAGTCTGCACTTTCAGTCATGACTTCAACAGGTTGAAATGAGCTTTGAACAAACATCCGTTTAGTGCTGAAATATTCAAACGCTGCAGGAAGAAGAACAACAAAGTGATGCATGATGTTTGTGTTTCAAACAGGAAAACCGGCAGAAATAAATCACGACCTGCCAACAATAGGGGAGTTTCTGGGGTGCACCTGAACGCAGCACACAGTGTTTCGATGCTCGTGAGTGTCCTCAAACGCCTCTCTGGGTGTTTCCGTCCTGCTCAAAGTTTACTTTCACTTTGCTGAGCTTCGTGCAGTGGAGCTTGTTGTTGGTGTGAAGAAACTGTAAGTTTGCTTCGTTTCCTCCTTTAACAGTTTGTGTTTAGCAACTTTAATGTTTGTTCAGCTCGTGTTTGATTTCTTCACACCACAAACTGTGTGTTTGTATTTCCGGTCTCTCCATTAAAGTCAGTGTGTAATGTTTTTCAACGAGGTCGAATGTGTCCGCCATTTTTCAAGTGTGTGTGATCAGATAAAACACGCTGAATGTTGCCTGAGCTCGACCCGAGAGCTCCGCGACTTTTTATTCGCAGGGACAGCAGCAGACGGAGAGCGGACATCATAAACGAATGTTTTGTTTACATGTGTGTTAGATATAGATTCAACTTGTTGTTCTTCAAAGAAGAAGAAAGTGGAGACATCAACTGTTGGCTCCGCTCCAACCCTCCTGAGCTTCAGGTTTAAACCCGCCTCCTTCCAGGAAGCAGCTCACCTGTGTGTCCGTGTTTAGTGTCCAGGTGTGGCGTGGAGCCTGTAGTTGGTGTGTGAAGAAACTCTAAGTTTTCTTTGTTTCCTTCTTTAGCATTATAACAGGAAGTGGGACATTTCTATTTACATAACATAAATCAGATCAGTGAATTAGGGTGCAAATCAAATAAACTACTGATGTATGTTAGTCTTTATATGGCTCTGTTAAATATCATGTTGTTATTGTTGATACTTCACAAAGGTCAGCTGTGCTGCATGGGGTTACTAGTTTTGTTTGTTTGAACTTTTATGAAGTATCCTTGGCTAAAGCA